AACATACCACAAAGAGGACCCTATCTACACAAGAAGTAAGGAGTAAATGATTCAATATGTGTGACACTGTACATTTGTGTTCTCCTACCTTTAGTACAAGGAAATATAGTAATGCAATCTTATTTTTTTGTTTATTTCTTTGTTTCAAAATACCGTGTCAAGCATGTTATTAAGTACTAATAAAAAAGATGTTTAAAAAAGACCCAGTTTCATATCTGTTAAATTTTGGTAAATGGTTACTTTTTTATATAGTGCTTTTCCACCTTCAAGGCACTCAAAGAGCTTTACATCAAGGAACAACTAACCCATTCACACACACATTTGTACACACAATGTACATAGACACAAGGTGAGGTTGTAGTTGTGTCTTGCCCAAAGACACAACTACAATTTTTAGGGCTTTGTAAAGAAACCCCCAAATAATATCCATATGTATATTTTCTGAAAGCAATATAATTCACAAAGTATTGTTATATTTATGTTATTCGATTACAGTCATTAAAAGGTCAATATATTGATACTTTGGAGCTGACGTCATCAACATTCCCTGGGGGTGTGACGCTAACTAGAGGCACTGCTCTGTTTGACTTTCCTCTGATCTTTATTTTAATGCAATCTGATCAGAAAGAGCTGATTTAGTTGGAACTACAGACAGGTGTGCATTGTGTTCCATGGTAACTGCTGAAGATTCCTCCAAAGAGATACATGTGGAACACCCCCAGCATGATGTCACTGCAAAGTATCAATTAGAGAGAAATATAACTAAGGTCAATAATCTAATAGTAATAGAAAAGTACTTAAACGATGATGTATTTTAAACATTTGGTTACTAAGTAAGTAATAATAAATCCGTCAAGAAAATAAACCAGATTTTGGAATTTTAAAAGACTAAAAATTACAGTGGAAAAAGCTGAAAAAGATGCTTGATTGGATAAAAAGACAGACTTGCGCTCCAATGAAAGCATCTCTATTGGCTGTAGTGTGTATGTGAGCCCAGGCACGCAGCTCACACCACAGAGCACCAGCTAAACACAGGTTACTTTATATAAAACCTGCTCCCTGCTTGAGCCCGGAGGTCTCTGTAATCTCCCCCACAGCCACACACACACACACAGCACAAGTACGCACAAAAATACACGCCAAAGTACACACTCGCACGTACACAAGCAAACAAGCCCAGTAATCACACTGCGAGTCTGTCTATAAGAAGTAAAAAAAAAAAAAAAAAAGGAAAAACTGCGTACTCCGCCTCTAATTAAACCCAGTGACCTCCTCCAGTGAAAGACGGACAGCGAGAAGCCAGAAGTCAGCGTGTGTGGGGCCCGGGCATTAATAATAAAAGCATTCAAACATGACCTGGCCAAAGACTACCGCGTAACCCACTACGTACCTACTACCGCCCAATGAACTGTCATCGACTACTGAGGGGGAACGTGGAGTCAGCCAATGCAACCAGGCGTAAGATAAGACATAACTTTGATATTTGTGTTAAAGGTGCAGTATGTAACTTTTATGGTGCTTGTCCCTATGGAGATGTTAGTGCTTTACTGGGAATGTTCCGAAGTATGGCATTAAACTTTAGTGGAGACAAGAAGGTGATGCCACTAGGCCAAGATATAGGTCATGGTAAGAATGCAGGTTTTTGAAGGTTTTGTGTTTCAGCAATGAAAATGTAATGATTGAACAGATACGTTTAATGCCCCATGGTGTAACATTCCAGGAAAGCATATCACCACAGAGACAACAGATGGTGGAATAAAGGAATATAATTATGCAAAACTGATCATTCAAATATGTGTACAGTCATGGTGAGGTATAGCAATAAAGCAAAAGAATAAACTGCAATTAACAATGACATCTGTTAAAGGTGTACTGTGTAGCTTTTTTGATGGAGGGTCTGCCAACTGCTTGTTTCCATGGAGATGGCTATGCTTTGCCTGGAATGTTCACATTAAACCTATCAATTTGCAAAGAAACAAGTAAGTGACATCACAAGGCCAAGTTACAGGTCAGATCCATGGTGAGGCGACTACGCTGACAATGAGAATGCATGTTTTTAAGTATTTGGAACAATAAAAATACCTGTAAGATATTAAGATGATTTATGGCATACTGTGGAACATTCCAGGCAAAGCAGTAACATCTCCATGGACACAATTAAGTGGTGGACCCTTTAACAGAAAAGTTGCACTTTGCACCTTTAAACTGTTTTGCGACCATTTAAACTTGTTTTATTTATTTATTTTTTTATTTGCTACTTAATAATACCAAACTTGATTTAGCATCTGGTCTTTTATTGTTATTTTTAAAGTAATGCTGTTCTATTTTGTCATTGCCTTGTGCAGGTAACTTTTTTTTTTTTTAATCAATAAGAGCACTGTGTGATTCACTCACTCAAGCCCTGAGCATGACTGTCAGAAGCTATCTCAAATATTAGTATAATTTAATATCAAATTTGTACCAGTCCATCATCTTAATGCACCAGACTAGGATTAAATTTCATTACACTATGAAGATTGAAAGAAAGGAAACGTCAGATCGAAAGAGAAAGTGAAAGAGAGCGGGCGGTAAATTAGTTACAATCACGGTTGCACATTAATAGATAATAGCCCAGATGTAATTACAGTGTTGTCTATAATAGTTGTTTATATATTGGACAGGTGCCAATAGACAGCTGTTCTGTAATATTATTCAATTGACCTTTTAACTTTTACATAGAGGATACTAACATTACTGAAATAAGTTTAGCTTCCCAGGCCATAAAACAGAAATTGCATTTGCCCCCATCTTGGCAGGTTATGATATATTATACAGCCCTGCTTAAACTTAAAAGTTAAAGCTGCACTATGTAACTTTTCTGGTGGAGGGTCTGCTTTCCGCTTGACTCCATGGAGATGTCATTGCTTTGTCTGGAATATTGTTGCACGTTATGGCATCAAACCTATCTACCTCCATGCAGACAAGCCAGATCTATGGAGAGGCAACCGCACTTTAATTAGAAAAGTTAGAATGCATGCATATGTTTGAGCAATAATAATACCTGTAATAATAATAACAAATAAGTGTAATATGGATTTGTTTTATGACATATTGTGGAACATTCTGGGCAAATCAAAAACATTGTCATGGAGACAAGAAGTTGGCAGCCCATTCATCAGAAAAGTTAAATAACGCATTGTGTAACTTCTTTGGTAGAGGGCCAACAAACCTGCTTGATTCCATGTAGATGTTAAAGTTTTTACCCAGAATGTTCTACAGAATGGCATTTAATTTAACTATCTCCATGGCCATATCACAAGCCAAGTTACAGGTCAGATCTATGGAGAAGTGAGCTCGTAAACAGTATACTAATGCATGTTTTTTTTTTACTGTTGTTTTGAGAAATAAGAGCACTTGTGATTGAATAAATACAAGATATTTGTTTGATGCCATACTGTGCAAAGCAATAACATCTCAATGGAGACAAGAAGCGGGCAGAAAAGCTACATAGTGCAGCTTTAAAATGAGCAAGCAGAGCCTGGGAGGAACCTTGAAACCAAAAACCTTATTATGATAGAAAGAGCAGCTTGGGACAGGGAAAAGGAGGTTATAGAAGAAAAACAAAGGAGCTCTTTCACAGTTACTGACTTGCAGCTTTGACTCCGCTGACATCATCAAAGTGGGACGCACACTGGGTCTGGGGGAATTCCCGAGCCTGTGCTACTTCTTCTACTGCTGCTGCTGCTCCTGCCACCTCCTTCCTTCTTTAAGTGGCTACATTTCCAGTCTTTTCAAGTTCGCTCCTATCAGATCCAACCACATAGACCCAAAGAACGGGATACCAACTATATAGCAATTTATCACCCGGGAGACCACGCTTTCAAACCCCTTTCTTTATTTTAGAGATAACATGCCTAGATGCCAGTGTTTCCGCTCCACTTCCCCTTCCTCGTCCAGATGGAATTATTGACTGGCTCTCTTCAAAACAATAAACCAATATGGAGTCACTTATTCACAAAGTTTCCCAAGGGTTTCTTTGTTAATGCCATAATCTAAAGCTGCACAATTTAACTTTTCTGCCTGTTTTACTTTGCCTGGAATGTTCCAAAATATGACATTATGTATTTTATATTTCATTACAGGCTATTTATTAACGGGGTCATCTATATAGATCTTAACTGCACCTTGGCCTGGTGGCGCAATGTGCTTGTTTGGATGGAGACTGAGTAGTTTAAAGCCATGCTGTGAAACATTCCAGACAAAGCAATAACAGAAAAGCAGGTCACCATAAAAGTGACATAGTTCATCTTTAATTGTAAATGCATGTTAGAATGGAATAGCACATGTAGCTGTTTAAATAAAGAACAAATTGCTACTTCTTGTACTTCATCTTCTCCCAGCGTGGATCACCACCACTTCCTCAATATGGCATTGGCTTTATACCAGATGCCCTTCCTAATGCAACTCTTTATCTCAGCTTGGAGACTTCACAAAGACAGCAGTATTGATTGAACCCCACACACACGTACAATAGTAATGTAAAAGGAAATGTTTTGTAAATAATCTGTTATGGCAGCAACTCAATTAAAAGGACATCGTAATTTCTAATAATAAAGCCTAGACTATATATAAATGGACAGAGCCAACACGCTAGCCGTCGCATTCAAAATAGGAAGTCTTCACGGAGAAGCTTCTGGCTAAATCGATTGTGTTTCCACTTGACTTTACATTGAGAAATTGTTGCCCCCCTCTCTGTAACTGCTGCAGTGAGCCTAGTCATTTTGCTCTTAAAATGTTCGTATTAACTCACTCTGCATGATCGTTGCGTTTTTATTTCACCAATTTTTCCGTTAATAAATTCCTATGCCTAATATGGATCTTGGCTCCAAATTTCCCCCTATAACCACTAGCATCTTAAGCTTCATTTGACTGGAGCCGAACGTTATGGGTGAAGTCCACTTCTTTATACAGTCTATGCAATAAAGCCAAGATATTAGCATATACATAGTGATTAGACCTACCTTGGATGCATTGTAGCGAGCCGTCTTCTGCCCGGATGGTGAACGTCTCCCCAGGGTTCACTTGCACCAAAATCACCTACAAAAAGAAAGTATCAAACATCAAAATCAACATTCAAAATTCTAATTACCACGCAACATTTTACATTTTAAGAACAAAATGAGAACACAGTGGAGGCTCAAAAAGTTGCTGAAAATCTTTGTAGTAATTTCCCTCGAATTGTAAACTCACCACTCCTGTCCAATAGCAACACAGTGTAGGTGACATAACACATCTTAACCACTGGCTTCGAGTGTAGGGGTGGTTACACAGATGAATAGACTTGGCACGCTAAATGATTAGGTAAGCTTACGTGACACTGTTGCACATCTTGACAAAAGCAGGTAGAAATATTTGGAAAACACAATAGCAACTCGCGTTATCTTATACACAGGTACTGGTTGCATTCAAGTACGTAATTTCCCAGTCTTACCGTGAGATTGTCCGCATACAAATTGTTGAGGGAGTACACGTGGCTGTATATATGAAATAGCCCCTCCATCGTACGCATGCATGTATCTATGTCTGAGCTCTACAGGTGTTGCCATGTAAAAATCCTGTTTCCTCTCCCGCTGGTCTCCGCTTGCTCGCCCATCTCAGAGCTAACCTGCTGCCTCTCCTTCCTCACACACACACACGCGCACACACACACGTAAACTCAAAACGCACACACACTTCCTGCTTCGTCGGCTGCTGCTGCGGCGACTGCTGCTGCTGCTGTTGCTATGGGAACGGCGGCGTAGTACAGGGCGACCCGCGTTATGGGAAAGAGACCCCACCACCCTCCATATAAAAGAGCAAGGAGGTGATAAGGTGCATGTAAGGTCTCTATATAGTCTATCATTATCATCAGTCCATTACAATGAACAGGGAATCCAGTGCATCATTAATGAATTAACTGCATGTAATTATAATGAATTGGATGCTTGGAAGTAGATTGGAATTTTTAATAATGTCACTGAAGAATATTATGTAATAGGGACTAATAAACAAAGCTCACAGGAATAAATTGTATGCTTTTATTCTAGTAACTTGATAACTTTTTCAGTTTTAATAAACAAGCTCAGAACAATTACAAGGTAGTACTAGTAGCACAGTTTGCAGTGCTGGTACTGCTAACAAAAAGTAACAATAGGTAAACAACTGAACATAGATTTATTGTGTAATTTTCAGATTGTCTTATTTTCATTTCATTTTTTTTTTTTTCTTCTTAATCCATGCAAATTCAATTAAAGCAGAAATATACTTAATAAAACACATGGGTGAAAAGGCAGAAATAGACAATTGCTATGTGTACATACACACCAAAATCAGATTATTATCTGATTTCCGGACCATTAAGATGATATAAATGTTATGCAAACCACAAAATCTCATGAGGGAGGATGATCAGTTCAGATTACAGATTTAGCTGTTAACTTTAATAATTTTATTAGTCTTATAACTTCAAAACTCTGATAATAATCAGATTTTAACTGTGCATGTAACTGTAGCTGATTTAGTACAGTATTGATACAGTATTGAAGGTGATGTCATACACATTCCCTGGGGTGTGATGCTAACTGTAAGCTCTGCTCTGTCTGAAGATAAAAGTTAGATTTGAATCTGAGCTTTTAATTTTAACACAATCTGACAAGAAAGAGCCGGCTTGGTTGGAACTACAACATGTGATGATATGTGCTGTTAAACAAGTCTCTCACACATAAAATTACAGTCACAAGTTAGTTAGCATTAGCCAACAGTTTGTCGGTTAGGCACTCTCACATTTTTGTTTAGAGTCAAACACCTAAACTCCTGAAAATATGCTGTTTAAATCCATTTTGTATTCTTTCATGGTTCTGAGACTAAATCGAAAAACATTTTTAATAGTTATTGCTAACATGTGCATTGCATCACCGTGGTAACTGCTGATCATTTCACCAATAGAAATACATAGAAATACACTTCCAGCGAGATGTCGCTGCAAAGTATCTACACTATAAAATCAAGCATTTTTCAATAATAGCATCCATAGGTGTAAGCTTTCTTAACACAGTGCGCTCTAGTCTTTACACCGACTATTCTGCTGTCTGTGGAACAGATAAACACTGTAATATCATGCACATCTGGCCCAGTCGTGAGTAGGTCTGGTATGGTCTGGTCTGGCCTGGTAGACTGTGGGGCAGACAGGCAGCAGACAACACAAAACACAAGTATGTGCTTTTAGACTCAACATACTTCAGTGCTCCCACTCGCACACTAAAACAGCAAATACAATCTCGGTGTACGGGTACCAACAAGAGCACAGAGCGACGGAAGAAGGCAAAATCTATGTAATCATAAGTCTAGATTCTGGGTGGACTATGGACAAGGCGGGACTATAAAAAGGGGTGCAAAATCCGTCCAAACCCTGAGTCTAACTGTTATGTGTACTGGCCAAAACAAACTTCAGAGCAAACTTCATCTGGACCGGGACAGTACTAAGATGAGACAAAAAGTAGGCCTGTTCAAAAAATGATAAATGGAACAATGAATTTTATGACTTCAAGGTGCATTGTGTAACTTTTCTGAGGGAGGGTCCGTCTACTGCTTGCTTCCATAGAAATATCTTTGCTTTGCCTGGAATTTTCTAAAGCACAGCATTAAACGCATCAATTTCCAAAAAAACAAGCAAGGCCAAGTCACAGGTCAGATCTGTGGAGAGGTGACAATGCTGACAATGAGAATGCATGTTTTTGAGGTATTTTTGAACAATAACATTCTGAGCAAAGCAGTAACATCTACATGGAGACTATTAGGTGGAGGACGCTATCCCTTAAAAGTTGCACAGTGCACATTTAATATTTATTGTGCACACCTTTTCTTTGAACTAGTGGAGAGTTGTTTTACTTTTGTTTTGTTTTTTTAAGCTCTGAGCTGTATTAGTAATTCCTACAATTTCATCCTACTATTTCTTTGTTGCAGTTCATTCTTTAACAGTATTGAGTAGCAATTATCTATTATCTACAAAGCAATGTAGAAAAAAATCCATCTATTTTTCTTTATCCTTCACATAACAAAATCACACTCTAATAAAAGCAAGTATTTTGGAACAGTTTCCAATGAGAATGCAGGGTATTTCCAAAGTGCACAGATCAGCAGTCACAGGGAGGTGTGCAGCCATGTGGCGCAGCTCACAGCTCTAGTTCCTGTTAAAGACAGAGTTTACTGGCAGTAGCTCCTTACCTGGAAAAAAACAAGCTGTATTTTTCAGACCTGGATTCTTAGTGACAACTTAAAATGTAAACCAACCAGGTGCACTACTTTTGCAAGTTCATTACGTTCACTTGATAGTTCAAAGTCTAAGCAATGTCATGACGCTGTTTATGCAGTATTTATTAACTCTGAATAACTTAATTTTATGAACCATTTGCAGTTTGGCAATGTGGACCTGACTTAAAGGTGCATTTAGTAATTTTTCTCTTGGAGAGTCTGCTAGCTGCTTGTCTCCATGAAGATGTTATTGCTTTGCCAAGAATTTTCCACAGTATGGCATTAAAACTTATTCATATTCAAGTTATAGATCAGATCTGTGACTGAGATCTGAGACTGAAGCGGCAACCCTGTCACAGTAAGAATCCAAATTTTTCGAGTATTTTGAGTGATACAAAAATAAAGAGCAAAAAGATAAGTTTAATGCCGTACTGTGGAACATTCCAGGAAAAGCAATAACATCTCCATGGAGCCAAGAAGATGAGAGACCTACGAGAAAAGCTGCATAGTGCATCTTTAACTTTCTGTGCTTTTTGCAACGTCCAAACTTTAGTCTGTTTCTAGTCTGGCATTTCTTAACTACAGACTCGCACTCTAAATTTGTCTCCAAAACATCTATGGGTTTTAAAATGACGAGAAATTAGAACCGTTACCATAGCGATTAACTATTTTAAACTAAATATATCTTTTGAATGGGAAACAGACCTCAAAACGTTGCAGGAAGCTGAAACCTATGGATAAAGAGTGGTTTCTCTGCTGTCCAATTAAAAGTACAATTCAGAAAAGTTCACACAAAACAGTGTAAATATGTATAAGTATTACACGTTGTTGTTATCCTCTTGGTTGCTTTTCAGACTGTAAAACTGTTTTTGTGAGTCTTTTTTTTACCTGCTGTGCCGCGTCTCCGTTAACCATGTGAGGAATCAGTGGGACCTCCGGGTTCAGGAGAGGGGGCGGAGCCAAGTCCAGCGGAATCTGGTCTGTCATCATCATTGTGACGTACATTCATGGAGAAATTCACTGAACTGCCCTACCTGCAACACAACACACAGGAAATGCATCAGAACCACACAAAGAAAGAAGGACTTGTACATATATTATACACATTTTATTTAAATTTTTTTCCGTCATCTGTTTCTGTCCATGCAGATATTGCCTCTACAAAAACGTCACAGTAAACCATCATTTACATGTCAGATTTGTGGAGAGGTGAGCCCACTCATAGTAAGTATGCATGTTTTTAGGTCAATTACAACCCAAGTTATTGAGTAAATGCAAGATGGGTATGTTTAATGCCATACTAGGACATTCCAGACAAAATGATAACATCTCCATGGAGACAAGCAGGGACAAACCCTCCACCAGAAAAGTTACACGATACAACTTTAAAGGTTTGCCACATTTTTATTTATTTATTTTTTTTCATGAGATTTGCATATTACATTTTAGATCAAATTCTGCTTTATTTACTTGGGCATGGAACTAGCACAGATGTTTTTTTGGTTTTTGTTTTTTCCCCAGGCTCAAAACTGTTCCGTTTAGCTGTGCATATGACTCTCTTTTCTTTTCCGCACTCTTTTCTCTTCTCTTTTGATGCTAATTTTATGATGATTATTATGATTATGTTTTAATTTGTTTGTATTGTGATTCTAATGCCTTTCTTATTCTGTAAAGCACTTTGAATTACTTTGTGTACGAATTGCGCTAGAGAAATAAACTTGCCTTCCCTTCCCCTAATTCTGATTATTGTCCATAAACATAGCAATGAAACATCTGTTTACATGCAAAACAATTCAATTCAGAAAATAGTTTAATGAAATACAATTTTTTTTGAACCAGCTTCAAAATAATGTGGATGTAGTCTAATCTCTTTATCCACCGAGCAGGAAAGGGATAACATCAGTGTACTGACTATAACAAATATTTATTTAGTTTGATAATAAAATGATTCCAGGGACAACTGCACCTGTTAGCTTAGCAAACATTAGCGGTACATGTAAATAGGTTTGTGGGTCAGTCAGCCATGTTGCCTATTTTGGAAGCTACAGTTGGCTTCTCTGCATGGATAATTATAGCACTAAGCATGTAATAATAACACTGCTAATTATCTTGAGTGAAAAATAACTGGGATTTGTCCAAGTGGTTGATCTGGAAGAGCGAAATCCCAAAAGCAACGGGTGTCCTGCTTCCAACATGTGGTTATTGTCAAGATCTTAGCCAAACTAGCGTGACCTTTAGCGGCTACATTGTATATGCTAACAGCTCCAACCACATGGATAAACATTTGTGGCGACCCGTACAGTGATCATGGTCCCTGAGGGCAAAATGGGATCCCAACAACATAAAGCAGGAAGTGTGCCAAAAACTTAAGGGTGACGTCTTTAAGTACTACACCTCCATGGAGTGAGCACACGCTGGTTTATGGCCAGAGGTGGATTAGAGAATGATGTATTGAGTTTCATTTTAGCATCGTTGAGTGAAATCATGGCTAAAGAGGGGCTGATTAGAGGTTGTTAACTGTTATTAGCGCAAATGGAGCTAACCTAGATATGAGATGTGCACGATGGAGAAAATATGCATCCAGATATAGACTAATCATTATTTCCAAGTGATTTTACTTGAACTAAATGGAAAACAAAACTAATAAAAATGTATTCATGAGCTAAACTTCACAAAAATAATGTTTTAAATGTTTAATACAACAATGACTACAAAACAAAGACTGTATTAAGAAGTGGACAAAGGGAGTGTGAAGTCCCCCATAGCGTCTGGCTCCAGACAAATGAAGCTCACAATGCAGTTATAGGAGCGAATTTGGAGCAAAGTCCATATTAGGAATAAGACTTTATTTACATACAAACTAGCTAAATAAAAACACCAGGATTTAAGTCCAAAATGATGAAGCTCACTACAGCAGTTAAAGAGAGAGGGACAATTTCTCAATTGGAGCCAGTCACACGGCAACTAGTGGTTTTGCTATGTCCATTTACAGTCTACACAAACACATTTTCATCCTGCTGTCCTTTTTATGAACTACTCACAATACTTACTTACATATATTTTAGTAACGTGTACTACTTTGTTTAATTTCTTGTTTATTTGCAACATAAAACACCAACTCTACAACCTTAAGAACAAATTGTATCACTTCTATACACCCTCCAATAAAACCAATCTTTATTAAACAAACCATAAACTCCAAGTGTAATACTAGAGTAAAGCTTTGCCGTCACTTTGCACACAGGCACAGCTCCATATTAGCACTGAGCATTCCAGTGAGCAGCTGTGTGCCATAGTGCGAGGCCTGTCAGCCCCTCGTCTCATAACACGACTCAGGGGTCTTCGAGGGTCACTCCAACGCACAGCTGGCCTCATACTGTCCCCAAAAAACATCAGCGTCCACCTCCCTCCCTCACCCTGTAACCAATCATCATATTCTGTACATCCAGCTGTCCCCTCTGCTCCAACTCCTCCATCTCTGCCTGGACATCCTACACTGAATACATGCACTGTTAACAGGGAATAATGAGCAAAATTGGTTCCTAGTAAAAAAAAAAAAAAAATCTTGTTGAAATGTTATGTCCTATTTCCATCTCTACTTCACATCCGCTTTCACACTTGCACACAAACTAGGACTCAAAGACAGCTGTGTATTGTGTACGCAGCCTACCTCAGAAAATTTTAATCTATGAAGCTCCTGCATGTTTTTAAAGTCCATATATCTTTAAACTTGCTCTGATCATTTGTCTTGCTAACTCCATCTAGGTATTTTCTATTAAACAAAAAAAAATCCAAAGTTATACTATTTTATGTGTAAACAGAGACACATTGAAAAGACATCAATGCAGATAGACAGTAATACTACAACAAATTCTGCCAGGAAAAAAAAAATCCAGGACTAGTTAAGTAAAGGTTTGGTCTTGAATGACAAATGAGGAGTCACATTTTGGATGAGCAGGCGACCGCTGTATCTTGTCCAGTCTCTCAAAATAAACCCCAATTTGAAGAGGAATTCAATACATTTGGAGAAGAGGAACACTGTCAATTACAGACTAGCAAACTATTACTTTAGTGCAACTTCGTTTTTCATTTCAAAGCAATAAAGGACTTACATAATGAACAGTTCAAGACTCCTACCAAGGCATTAGACCTTATCTTGCAATGGTCTGGATTCAAAACAGGAGCCTTCAAATTCATGGATAATTGTTATAGAAGACTACAATCCAACCAAAGCAAATGAGTTTTTCTTTTAAATTTAATCTAAACTTATGAAAACATTTTACTTAACTTTGTTAAACTGTCAGATGTCATATCACAATGTAATTTTATGCCAGCTCCAAACCCGGATAAATAGACCAAGAAGACAATGTTCTAATCATATCCACTGATCAATGTGTTGCTTCTTCTCATTTTAAGAGATTACAACATAGACTGTATGGACTAGGTAACCTGCTTGGCGTTGCATTCATAATAGGAAGTGAGCATGGGAGCGCTTCTGGCTCCATCAACTCTTAAAAAAAAAAAAGGTCACCCCTCTCTCTGAAACTGCTGCTGTCAAGTTCGTCATTTTGGTCTTAAAACCTGCTATTCCTTATCCTGGTGTTTTAATTTCACTATTTTGTCTGTAAAGAAAGATATTAACATTAATAATACACAAATCACGTGTATTCTGTCACCAAGGTCACTCACGATAGCATTAGCAACAGGTTTGATTGACAGCGTTGCTAAGCGCCCGCTCCCTGTTAAACCAGTAGTGGGGTCGAAGAGGGGCAGGAAGGGGCATTATCTTCAACAGCCTTGCTACAGATTGGCTCTTTGGTTGCTATGATACTTCAGATTCGTTTGTATAACTGCCAACCTCACTGACTACTACTACTTTGACTGTAGCTGTGGTTACATCTTAAACCAATGAACAGCATGTCAGCTAGTCAATTCATGGTATTAAGATTTGCGTGTAAGTCATAGTGTAAATGGGTCAACTTTAAAAACGATTACACCAAATGAGCTCACCACTTGTCTGATTTAACTGAACAAAAATGCATTAACATAGACAGTGTGAAATCCAAATGAAAACAGATCACCTTTTCCAGACAGAAATAACACAAAGCTTGTTTCCAGAAACGATTACAATGAATAGACATGTCATCCTAACTCCAAAACTAATGTCCCAAATATGTGGAGGAAACCAAGTCTTCCCCCTAAGCCCATCCTGATAGATAGATAAACCGCAATGTGTTAAATAAAGCTCGGCAATGTCCTGTTATATAATTACTTGGCAGAAGTTAGTCTCTAAATTTAAATGCTTAACCTTTCACTGCAATTTGGGCGAAGTGATGTATGAAATTGCAGAGTGCGGAGGCGAGCTTTAAAAAGATTGGAGATGTCAAGAGGCGCTGGGGTTTGGACTGATGTTACCTGGTTAAACGAAGGGGAGACGACGAGTGGGAGAAAAGAAATAAATAATTCAATATATAAGCGCAAGTGAAAGTACTGTAAAAAATTATAATAAAAATAATAAAAAGAAGAAAAACAAAATAATAAACTATGCCACTACAGCTATTGCTACTACTACTACTAATACTCAAGTACTACCACTAACCAAAACATGTACATTTTACTCAGCTTTTTACTCTAAAAACATAAAATATCTACTCAATTAAGCAATTACTATGGGTACATTTAAGGCTACTCAACTGAGGCTACTGCCAGTACTACTACAACAACTACTACTACTACTAGAGAAATTTAATATCATACTACTACTGTTTACTCTTACTATACTACTACCAACCGAAACATGTAATTTTTACTATTTACTCTAAAAAATGTTTTAAATATACTCAATTAAGGCATGTCTAGGGGTGCAATCAAAACCACTACTACAACAACTACTACTACAAATACACTTTACTCAACTCTTTAAGGAATTGAGTACCTTTTTAAAGTTTTTAGGGTAATTACTAGGGGTACAATTAAAGCTACTGCTACTATGACTAGTACTGCTAAAGACTAAATCAAAGGACTAACTCAGGTC